CAGATCCTCAGCAGGCCTGGAAAGACTCGCTGCTAGGAAGCAAGAGAGAAAGAGTCTTGTTTATCACTCTTTCTCCCACAGCCTCTCTTCCAAACTGCCTCTCCATGCTTATTTTGACAAGTGTAGACTGATCAGAACCATGGTGAAAGAAAGTATTTGCCCATTCCTACTTGTAAAAATCCCCTCTGTACCTCCCTAACATAACCAACATTGAAGAAAAAACAGCTTTTGAAGCAAATGACAAGTTTTGTTTTTTAAAGCCTTTTTAAGGAGAGTTGTTACAGGCTCAGCGTTGCCACTTCCCACTCACAATTGTAGTTTACTGTAACTGTACCCTGAAATTAATTTAAAGGCTATTGGCTGTATGTACTTTTAGCTAAATGGCAGAATGATTTAGTTAAACAAGGAGATCAGGATCAAATGTAATAAGGATATTGTGGTAGAATTTAGTGGATGCACCCCCTGGAAAGCTTTAGGCCAGCTGTAGGGGTGAATGTAGCCAAACACAAGTGCTGTCGTGATTTAGCTCTGGTTGCACGGGACAAGCTGCTCGCTGTCTTATTTTATGCCTGGTGAGTCATGACTTATATAATATCTTTTTTTTTTCTAACATATGACTTATTCATGCTTCCAGTTTGCTTGCTGAAGTGGTTCAGGTAAAAAGGCCACTTGCCAAGTATTATCATCACCTGGGAGTAAAACACTGGTCACTGTGTGCAGGGCAGCTCCTTTACTTATCCTGCGATATGTCAGAACTCCATCCCTTTCACCATTCATTCTGCAGCGCGGGTTGGCCTGTGACTCTTCACAGGGATTTTATCTGAGCGAGCTGTCACAGCGGGTCAGACCAAGTCCACAGTGAAGTTCAGAGGGAGGGAAGGAAAATATACAGAGTCACAGATGAGGAGGAGACTGCATTCATCTTGCTTGTGAGCAGATGTTGGAGGGATGGTGGTGAAAAGAAAGAGTGCTTGCAGACACACTGAATTGAAGCCAAAAGGTAGAATTCAAGGATTTAAAGACAGTGGAAGTGAAGAGAGTTTGTAAAAGCACATGGTCAGATTGGTTAGGTCACTTTCTTTTCTAAGGTAATAATAAAAGCTTCCTCACGCATGCAGAAATTGCTGCCTGTGGAGAAGACTCTACCACATTTCCTCATGGCAAAGACAGCTAGCTTAAGGAGGCAGGCAGCCATGGCTGTGGCCCAGATTGACTTGACAGCGCTGTAAAGCAGAAGGCACGTCCTGACCACTTCCTCCACATATGGCAGGCATTCTACTCTGGGGTGCTCCCAAAAAAAAAAAAGAGAAGAGATGTAGTATAGCATTATCACCATGTGACGGCACAATTCAGCAGCAGAGGGAAGCAGTACAAGTAGCTGACAAGCACCCAAAGGCCTTTATTCAATGGCTGTATACTGCCCCCTTCTGCATCTTATAAGTTTATGCACTTAGGAAAACCTTTACCTGATATTATTCCACCTTACCCTGATTTTCCCCCCTTAATTTAACAAGGTATATCTTAAATACTTTTTAAGGTTTTATAAAAAAAAATCTGCTGTCAAATTCAAGCAGCCCTGGGGGAACTGATTTGAATGATGTTTTGAGCAATATTAATGCCGTTAAATCACAAGTTTTTAAGCTCCTTTGAGGAACTTTTGGTTTGTGTTGCCCCCCTGTAGACCAAGCAGTGCCTTTTTATCTCCTTGTTGTTAATGTCCGCTATAGATATGCCTTAATAGTGTATTCTGCTTTTCCTGCTTTCTTTAATAGTCAGTGATGTCATTAACTGTCACTCTTTGCCGTGACAAATGTGAACAAAGGTTGTTTATACAGTGGGATGTGAATCTACTTCTCTGACACCGACCCTGACACAATTATTTACAAGAATTTAAAATAACTATAAAGTAATTATCAAACTTATTTCAAGGTTGTTTCTGTCTGTTTCACTTAAAAAACTCCTCACATGAGCTTTAGATAAAAGTCTCCATATCATTTATGTAGTGCTGACGAAGTTCTATTTTTGTCTATCTCTCTGTTTCTGCCTGAACTTCAGGGCCAAGCTGACCTGCTGAAGCACGCTAAGAGTGAGGCTCTGGACACTCTGCGTCAGATCCACTGTGCAGCTCAGTCCTGTGGCCTCAATAAAAATGGAGCAGCTTCCCCCCAGCTCCAGCACCACCCTCACCACCAGCCACAGCAGGTCCAGACTCAGCAGCAACCTCAGGCCAAAGCCCACCCACAGCCTCAGACCCAGTCCCAGCCCCAATCCCAGACCATACCTCAGGATTATCTCTATCCCCTCTCCCAGCAACACTCCCAGCTACCAGCTTTCCCCCTTCTTCAAACTGTTTCAAAACCACCGGCATATACTCAGCCCCCACCCTTACCCCAGCTGCAGTTCCAGAGCCAGCAGCAGAGGGCGGAAGGACCTCTGGGCACCATCCCTGAGAAAGAGATGGTCACTGATGATCCTGTGGCATCCTGCTGACCCGTAGCCTGTGCCCACAGAGAATCCTACCCAAAGAGAGACAGGGAGAGCCAGATAGGGATGGAGAAGAAGAGTGTCGAAGAAAAGCAGGAGGCCAGTTACAGAGGGCAGATGGAGGAGATGGCTGAGAGAGTTAAAGAGATGATGATGGTGAGGAAGACTCGGCGTGTCAGGAGTGAGACACAAGTCTGAGAGGAGGATCTAAGGAGAAAAGACAGAGAGACCTAAACTTCACACATTTCTGAACAGTTTGAGAACTTGAAAGGTGTTTGCTTTGCTCTGTTATGGATATGGATGTAATCCTTCTGACCAGCGAAGATTAGCTCTCTCTGTTTTCGCTCTTGTAAAGGGTCATGAGGGCAACAGCTGGAAACAAGCGCTCTGGTAGTGTGATCAGTCATTTAGACATCCGTGTCTCTCTGGGCAGTGCTAGTTACAGTACATGCTCTCTCACTATGTACTTTAGCTCTGTGGGTACAGGCTTTACCTCACGTTGGCATTTCTTTTGCCACATATTTGCCTTTTCATTTGTGGTACAGGCCTAGGCTGTGCTTTGTAGAATTCACAGAGAACCATTTCGGCACAAACCAGGGGTCTGTAGAGCTACAACAGAAAATCATCCTTTGCGTGCTGATGTCCTCAGTCACACGAACGATCTTCTTCCATCATTTGCTGACATCGACCTCCATCAGACCCCTGCACATATCCAATATCATTCCTTATTCTTTTAGTTATTTGGCATCACTTTACTACCCCAACAGGGTCCCCTTGTCTCCTCCCCAGGGGCTGTGCGTGCGTGTGTGCGTGTGTGCGTGCGTGCGTGCGTGCGTGCGTGCGTGCGTGCGTGCGTGCGTGCGTGCGTGCGTGCGTGTGTGCGTGACTGAGACGTTATGTGAGTTGTTTTTGGTCCCCAGGGTGGAGCCAGCCTGCATCTGAAAGAGGCAGAGCTCACCAGCCAATCACAACTGGAGTATTGACCCTGCCTGTTAGAGGTCAAGCTCAACAGGAACACATAACTGCTGTCAATAAAAACACAAAATAAAGTGACTATAGATGTAAAGTGTATGTAAAATGTACGAGAGAACATATATTGCTATGATATTTCTTGCAGATATGGACATTAATGATTAATATTATGATGATTGTTGTTCTATTGATATTCTGATTCTTTTTTTTAACATTACTTCCACATACCGTATTCAGTGATTAGACACCTGTTGTTCTGTGGTGCAGGTCAGGACTACCAGTGTATGTGGGACTGGGACGAAGGATTACGGGTTAGCACCACAACATCAGGGTCAGTCAATAACCTGAGATATGTTTCACTGCAGAGTGAATGTGGATTCTGTAAGAGCTCCTTTAAGTGGACCATTAAAACTGGCTTCATTGTTTATTATGTCTCCTCTCGTCAATGTCCTCTTTATGACCAAGAAAGGCTTTTTTTTGATATTTCTATTGAATTCTAGCAATATATTTATCCGCACTTGGACTGGTAGCTAAAAATAATGAACAGATACGGGGTTCAGAGAACGACTTTGGTTATATGACTTTTTGAATCGCTTTCATGCAGCCATTGATGACTCTTTGGAGCGTTTTGAAAGCAGCGTTCACTTTGAAATCTGAAGCAATCAATAAAGCTTTTTGGAGGCTTCATTGATTGCTTTAAATGCACTGTGATGCATGGTTAATTGTCTTAATCTAAAAATATTATCTTATCTATAACCAAGATGTATGGCATGTATTTTATCATGATTTACTTTGTCCATTTAAAGCAATGCTCCTTCTGCCCCTTAACACAAATACAGCTTATCGCTGTGAGGATGTCAAACAACATTCAGAAGTCAATAATGGCTTTAGAGTGGTTTTTATGATGAGTTCTGCAATTGCCAGTATGCTACCATTTATAAAGCAGAGTACGAAGGCGTAGTGCGTCTAATATTTCTTAGCTCCCGAAATAACATTTCTAAAAGGCCATCAAAATAAATATTCAGTCTTGATGTTTTGGGGCCTTTTTAAGTTGTGTGCCGATAATCAAAAATGTGTTTGCACTAGTGAACGTATAGTGTAGAAGAAAGAAAATCCACAAAACTCTTGCCATTATGGCACATTTTGTACAATGGAATTAAGTCTATAGATGGTCATTAGAATGAGTAGAAATGAGCAATGAGCTAATCATGACAACTGAAAAAGGGCATGTTGCATTCATTATATTGGTATGTCGTCATAAACCTTTGGCATATGGACACAAAGACATACCTCTAGTTCATCAAAGGTCCAGAGAAGAGCCTAGGAGATGTTTTTTTTTTTCTCAAACAGGACTCTAATTAATGACAGCGAGCTTCACATTAGCCTTTCAAATGAGCAAGCAGCCACAAAAAGAATTATTGGTTTCTGTGTCATACTTGTGGTTGGCCTGAACGACGTCCATCAGCGCATGGACAGACCAAATAAAAGACACTTGTTCTCAAGCGGGGACAGAAGAAGATCAGACGACGACTCATCAGACGAGCTAGAAGATGATGTGGTTCCACTCCAACTTCCAGAAAGCTGCTGGGAAGGATACGTCTAACAGGGTAGGACAGCTTCGTTTTTTTATGGGAAATAAAACGATTTGAGCAGTTTGACATGAAACAGTCTCAGTTTCAATCTTTTTATTAAGGGTGTTTTTTTTTTTTTTTATTCATGAGTTTGTTTGTGGACAGGTAAAAATACTTTTCTCATATTTTCCGTCACATTTTTAAATCCTTTCAATTCACCAAGGCAGAAGCAGCTGGCTTAAAAGTCTTCTGACACGTTTTCTATTTTAGGTTTCATTTCTGATTTACAGAGAGACTACTCTTGCATTTGAACTGAAATTTACAGTGAAGCATTTTTATGTTGACCTTATTTCTCCATGTGGCGGAGCAATTCCTGTAAGTAGCAAGCTGATATTGTGAGACCACAGGTCAAAGAATTTGTAATATGATATAAATCTAAAAGGAGCAGACACCTTCTGACAAGTGAGTTGGCATGCATTCATAGGTAATGAGTTTACATATAAGCTTACCATGTATATTCTAATTGTATTTCATTATATTTTTGATCTGTATGAGGTCAATCCCTCCTGTTTCTTTGTATCTGCATTATTTAAAACAATTTAAAATAATTTTCTACTCACCTGGTTACACATAACATACATTTTCTAGCGCTAAAACAACATGCATCATGAGGAAATGTGGCCTTTTTAAAGGAGTGTTTTTTGGGCTTGATAGATAGGACAGCATTTAGAGAGACAGGACATGTGGGGGGAGAGAGTGATGGATGACCTGCATGAAACAGCATCAGGACTGGGAATTAAACTTGTGCCCAGTGCAACAAGGAATACAGCCTTCAAACACAGAACTGTGGAGAGATTTAGGTTATCGCAAGCAACTGGTGTATCATTTTCTTGTGACATTAATAGATAGTCCATGATTCATATCTTTTATAAGTCTGTCAATAATTAAGCACATGACCTTAACCAAATAGTTTGTCATGAAGCTGATGTGTTCTTGTTGAGTGATCATGGATTTATTTTGTGTAGGCAAAAGAAATACTTGTAAGCTTTATCAAATACATACTGATTCACAGCTCCTTTAAAAGTCCCTTTAAAGCCTAAAGATTGTCTTCCTCTCAGTTGACTTGTGTGTGATCTCATCTGTTTATCCCAGCAGAAAGTCCTGCTGCTGGTCTGGATGTTGCTGCTGTCTGAGCTGACTTGTGATGCTCACAGCATGTCTGAGTGCTGCAGACAGCCCTCCCAATCCTGCCGCCTCTATGTGCTGCTGTGTCGCTCTGGCAGTAAGACCTTCGGGGGAGCGCTCACAGGTGATGCTTCTGCTGGAATCCTCACTTTGGGTAAACGGAAAGAAGACGTGGACCGCTTACAAAGCCGACTGGCCAACCTCCTTCAAGTGTCCAGGAATCCAGCAGCTGGGATTCTAACGATGGGGAAGAGGACTGAAGAGAGGTCTGCAGATTATACAGACTGGATGGCTCAGTCAGGAATCCCAATCACAGCACTTAAGCAAAGCTAAATCACTCACGGCATGAGCGTACTGGGACTATTTGCAATTTTATTTGAGCTGTGCCCTTTTGAATGTAATGTCTATTTCCCTATCAGATAGTAATAAGAATATTAAGAAGATGTTGTGGTGAAATAAACAATATGAAAAAAGAACACGTCTTTTATCTTTGGTGTTTTTGCTATGGTTGGTACTATCGCAGAGCTGGAATTAGTGAGTCCTCTCTAAATGTGCACTTGGCCCTTGGTAAAAATTGTTCCAATGAAACATTAAGAATATCAAAGGTTACGTTTTGGGTATAAGCTGGGAGGGTGTTGCCTTTCTCTTTCAGAAATAACTGAGAAGATTCAAAGATTTATTCGCCCTTGTCGCAGTCAAGTCGAAGAACAAGGCTCACGGTGTGTTAATGGAGCAGACCACAAGATGGTGCTGACAAGATAGAGTTGAACTGATTCACTAAGCTCACTAAATAGGATACCTGACTTGTTCACGGTTTGTGAAAATGTCATATTCATTTAACAAATAATTACTTGCATAGATACTGTTGGTATACTATAACTTTAATTGTTTAACAAGAACAAGAACACTGCAGCAGCAATATTATTTTTTGTCTACATCATATCATTTATTACTTTTTATTCAACCAATATTTGTAACACTGAACATATAGAGTCTTCATGTGAGAGGGCCCAAAATGATAAAATAAGAACTGGCTGCAATGCACAGCATGTCTGTGGGGCCCTTAATGATGTACAACGCAGCTCCATGTCCCCTCAGATATCAGATATTACATCTCTGTATTTTATAGATTTTTTTTTCCCACAATGTAACTAACTAACTAGTTTTACTCTGCAGTCAGACCTCCTACAGTATGTATGCTTGTTTATAGCTTATATTTGCTTGTTGCAATATAATGCGCAAAGGTTCTTTTCACACAGTCTGAAGTAAAAAATAGAAAAGATATTAAACTGAAAAACCGTTTCTGACAAAGAAGCCTGAGAGAACATGAGAAAGTACCACAGCTCCTACTTCATGTGCTGATGATATGGATGCCCTAATCACTTATGAGACTCTATAAGCTATTGATACCAAAATGAACTGTATTGACTGGTTGGTTGATTTGGGCAACCTTTAATTAACATATTCACCTATCCTGTAGTGTGAGTCCATGAAAACAGAGATCAGTTATTTCGCAAAATGCTGATCGCTATTGCAATGAACTCAATTTTAGGGGAACTTAGTCGATTAAGACAGCTTTCTTTTATTAGCTTCTTTTTACGTTCACTATGTGTACAATAGCCAGCAGCATTAAGTAAACCAATACAAAAACGTAGAATTTCTGTACTCCCCTCCCCAATAAATAAGACAAATATGACAACAAATATGCATAAAATTATTCAATATAAAATAATTTCAAAAGCTAAAGACAGCTTTCTGACGGTTTTAAAACATCAGAAGCTGTGCTGTAAATGGATAGACTGCAGGGTAACACCGCAGACAAAAAGAGGGACAGCTTTAGGAAGGACTTGTGCTCAGTAACGTGTAACGGTACACAACTCCTCACTATCTGAACGCCATGAATATGCTGTTTGGTTGTCTTTAAAAACAGAAATTAACATGATCCCACTTTTAAATATTAAATCACCTCATATGAAAAACTAACATTTATTTTAAACAGGCTGTTTTTGACATTCCAAGTGTTCTTGTAGTTATTAATAACCCAGGTGTCAATGAAATGTCAGGTCTCAGCAGAGGTGTGATTGTGCACAACAGCTTAACCCTCCCATTTGAGGAATGTGGTAAATGACAGTGATGCTATACAAAAGACAAGAATTACAAGGACAAGAATTGGGTTGTTTTTTTACAATTGTAATCTGTGGATTTGTGCATGTGCATGTGGGCTCTTACACCTTCAACAACTTTTTGTGATTTTATGTTATCCAGAGCAAAGATAGCAAAGAAATTGTGAAATTCAATGATAACGACAAAAGGCTGAATTTTCCTCCAAGCTGCCATCATCTGAAGCAACTCTTTGTGTAACCTGAACTCTGATCTTTATTTAGACCTTTATAACTCTGACCTTTATTTAGAAGACAAACTCTCATAATGAGCACAAAAGTCTTGTCATGTTACAGAATATCCAAAGCAACCCACACATGCTGAATATCTTTTTTTCCATGGGATATGCACACGCAAGGCTGAACAAATATTTCAATAAACACTCCTTTAAACCCATGAATAGGCAACCAGTGGAAGTGAGCTGACTGAGCAGCGGCATCTTTAACCTCCCAATTAGGAGTTTGAGAGGGAGAGAAAGAGAAAAGGCGATAGAGGATGGAGAAAGAAGCTGTCTCTAATTTTATTTCTTGTAAAATCTCTGGGGAGGGACCAGCGAGAGAGAGATAACTAAGTCATTCACAGTGTGTGGAAAAGGGGGGTGGTTCAGGCTTTTGTATGAGAGACAGAGAGAGGGAGAGAGATAGGCAGGGGACTCGGAGATGGCAGGAACCATGGTGAGTGGAGTTAGACAGAGTGATGTGGAGCTGAGGCTTTATACTCATACTAGAGCTAATGGGAGACGAGGGATGCGCATCTGAACCACAAAGCTCCTGACTCAGTTTGGAAAAAAGCAGCTTTGGAGAACCACCAAGTCGCACCTCGAGAAGAAACTAGATGTCTGTATGAGAAAAAGTGAAGATTTCCTCTCGACTAAGACAAGAGTGACAGCCAAGCCAAAAGGAGAGGAGTTCACTTTAAGGTCCCCTTTAGAGAGTAGAGAAAAACTACCGGAATCCCTTGACTGAGAGGCTTCAGTCTTCTCTTCTACAGCAAGATGCCTGTGATGAAGGGCCTCCTCGCTCCACAAAACACCTTTCTGGACACCATCGCAAACCACTTTGACGGCACTCGTAAGTATATTTTGGAATTCCATTAAATTCTACTCCTCATCTTTGAATAACCTCACTGAGACCTTTTAGCAATGCTCTACATGAATGTTTCTATATGGCAAATGGCTGTTGGAAATATTTTAACATTGCAATATATAATTATGATTCAAAATGAAAAACACTGTGTACATGCTTTGTGGTAGATGGCATCTTTGGATAGGTCCCTTTGCTTTTAGGTAACTTTTTCCTCACAGATACATGGGACTGAATTGAAATTGAATTGTTGATACCTGTAAATAGATTCATTTGAATTATGACTCTGCAACAGTACCAGCGTTCTCACTGTTGCTTTTAGGACTTAAGCCTTAGGCATTTTGTAACCCAGTTTAGGAGGACTGCCACTGAAAACACTGCTGTTGACAAATGTGTCTAGCAGTATTGAGGTCCAATTATAAGACTGAGAGAGGGACGCTACAGTCAAGTCAGGATGATATTTTTATTATTTAATTTTTTTCCCAAGAGCCCACTTGTTGTGCCAAAGTGCTGCTTGTCGGAACCACATTTATTTCTAGGTTTTTCCAAAGGTTTTTCATGTTTGTATTATTATTCAACATTCATTTTTACAATCATCAAGAAGGCTATATTTCTGTGACAAGACAGCCATCATTTAAGATTTGCTGATTTTCCTCAACAAAATCTTTGAGGACATGCAGATCTGTATGAAATGTGAAATAAAGTGTCACTAAATAGCCCTGTTATTATATCATTCCCTGGTGAAAGTTTGGAGATATGACACAATGATTTAACAGACTAGGAATGAAATCAAGTACATAAACACAACCCCACACAACCATTAAATACTTTACACCATAAGATACAAATCATTACTTCATTTCTTGAAAATACTATTGTTTAAATTTGTTTTACTTGTTTTAAAATCTTTGTTTTAACAGTTATCGCATACAAATATATTACTTTTTTATTTATTTTATATATGTTTATTTCATTAATACAATAAACAATACAATAAAAAAAGCATAAAGAAGAAGAATCTTATATAATCTGTATTTGTTTCACTAGAGATTAAATTAATAAAGCTCAACATTTAAAAAAAAATATATATATATGTATATATATATATATATATATATATATACATTAAAACATCTGACCCCACAGTTTTGCTCGTTAATGCATATTTTCATGTACAGTAGCTTAGAATCAGTGCAGAGCAGAGAATAAAAAGCATCACTGGAGCTGGTTCCAGACATGATGAGAGTGTAACTGTGTGTATACAGGTCAGGCTGTCTTATACAACTTCACAAATTCACAAATTCAGTGTGATAACACTGTCACGGTCTGTATCTCTCTTTCACACACACACAAACACACACACACACACACACACACACACACAAGCGGCACCCAGCTATCCACATCATCTTGCCCTTAAGTTCTGTAAGACACACACACATACTTAAACTTGCACTCAGATATTTTCTCAATCTTATCTGCCAGAATATCTCTGTATGTACAGTAAGTGGGTGGATTGACCCTCCTGCGTGGGAGGTGACTGGACCAACTGACAGGAGATGGCCTCAGAGCAGACCAGGCTTCAATTTGAAAACTGTATGGAATGCCAAGCGCTGAACTGAAAGCCTTTCAGTATGATGACAGCTCCATAAAAACCAAGAGGAAAACTGCAGATTCCCTTTAAGCTCATATCTGAATCCAGATGGTTGATACAAATACCCACTCTGTGAACGTGATTGGTGGCTGGGCCCAAGGAAACAGAGGTGGTATTCATATGAACCAGGTGTGTTTATCGGGAAATTAAGAAAAAATAATTAAATTGCCTCAGAGGGCTCAGTCAATCTCATTCAAGAGAGATGTCTAACTGATTTGATTTCATAATGATAACATTAATGGGTGTAGGTGTTCAGATAATTGATAAAGTAATCCTAAATTTAAAAAAATATATATATATCATTCCCAAGCTTGAGCGATGACTTTCCTTCAAATCACTTTAATGCATCTGCATTATAGAGTTAGGCTGATAGTGCAGATCTATTACTGGCTCCACCTGTCTTCCAGAAGGCACAGTGTCTTGCTAACGATTTAGATGCAAATTGCAGCTTTGGCATATGCTTTTTTTTTTTTCTAAACAAATCACTATGGCAACACAAGAACAATGTTAGTGGTAACAACATTTGCTCTACTCTTAGCAGGTAGACAATATTCACACATCACTAATTGCACATCTTCTTCTCTAGCTTTTTTTTTTTTTAACACCCTCTATGCGCCGCCTGCTCTGCAATTAATTTTGAGTTAAAAGAAAATAACTTGTATCTATAGCTGCATTCATCTGAATAATAGTGAATTATTATTCTGGGATGTTTGAAGCTTTAGAGACAAAACAAAGCATCACTCATTAAAAACTGGCTGCGGTATAGGTGTAATATCACCAGTATGGCCATAACATCATTGTAGTGTTCATAGGTAAACACAGAAGACGATATTCACTGGAGTCTACCTGGATCTTGAGATATTAAAGGATATCACACAAAAAAAGCAGACAAGCAATACTCAGTTAATGATGGTGAGATTTTGCTGTTGTTTCTCTTCAATAAACTCTGCAATACTTCACCCAGCAGAATTTACTTGAACAAATCCCCCAAACCCAAAGTAGCTTACAGGGAATGGATGGAATTGGTATATGTCATTGTATTTCTCCATTCTTAAAGCCTTACTGATAGATTTATGTGAAGAAACCACAGAGACCAACATCACCTTGCATTTCAAATTCAGTGCCTCGTGGTTTTATTATTTCCTTCTCTGTTTCCACCTACTCACCATGCCCTAAAATGACCCGTCAAGTTTCAGCAATGATGTTAAAAACATTTTTTATACCAAACAAGCCTAACGTTTTCAAGCATCTGTCGGAATAGTTTCTTAAAGATTTTCATCTCCATCACTACTATTCTCTCTTTTGCATTATGTACTGCCGTGTTCTACATGTATAGCCTATATACTGTTGGTTCAAATGTGATCCAAAGCTGAGTTAGAAAGAGAAATGTTTCCCTTGTTCATGCCTTACATTTTGGTCTGGATAGCAGGAATGAGAGATTCAACTTTTGTAAAAATAAATGCCTTGAATACAAGGGATGGAGCAGTTAAGCAATATTATCCCGACAACTACTACACTACTTATTACAACTAATCTGATGAAGTTATGCAACAAAAAACTGAATGCTGAGAGTTATTGTTGTAAAAGATGTAGTAATATCTCCTTTGTCTAATACTTCAGCTTTTGATATGATTAGAAAAGATAAAGAAAGCTGTTAGTGTCATGCAACTGAAATTAAAGACGCTTAAAAACTTCCCTCTGTAATGAAGTTGTGAAATCAGCAGGACTGTTGAAATAGAGGACATTAGTTTTTACTGTTGTATCTAATTAACTAGCAGTTGCTAGGAAACGAGTGAGGACTCCAGGAGGGTACAAGTCCCAAAACAAAACATTAGTCTGGCATAAATTCTGCACACAACACAAAAAAACACTTTCTGTTTTTTCTCATATTGATCTTTTTGCTGATGAAGATGTGTGTGTGTGCTTGATGTTGTGTTTATATTTTTCTCTGGCTGCATAAATTCTCAAATCCATTACACAATTGATGACCAGATAAAAACCTGCTCCACATGCTAATTACTGACATGGCCTCAGTCCCCCATGGAGCCCGAGGAGCCAGCTGAGGCCCCCCGCATTTATCCTCAGACTTCATACAGACCACCAGCTATACTTCAAAGCCCCTCAGATGTAGCTGGGACTTGACTATTTCTGGGAGCCACAGCTGGGAGCAGATAAGATGACTAAGAAAAAAGAGGGGAAGAGTGTTTGTTTTCTATTTGTAGCTACATCAAGAAATGAATCAAATCTGGAGAGATAGGCCTATGGGTTTTGGCAAGAGAAAGGGATACTAAAAACTCTTTTTGCCACATTTGAATGTGTTACTGAAGCAGAAGCTATCTCAATGCTGCATCATAGAGTTCAAATATTGCCTGTTGTTCAATCAGTCTTTTGATTTCCCTGAGGTCACACAGTAGATTTAACCTCAACCATGGGGCTCTTTTTTTTCCCTCATAGACAGTAACTTCCTGCTGGGAAATGCTCAAGGTCGCCATGGCTACCCCATCGTGTACTGCTCAGATGGGTTCTGCGAGCTGACCGGCTTCGTTCGGACTGAGGTGATGCAGAAAACTTGTGCCTGCAGCTTCCTCCACGGAGTTGAGACCAATGAGAGCGTCATCCAGCAGGTGGACAAAGCTCTGGAGGGCCAGCAGGAGTTCCAGGGAGAAGTCTGCCTCTACAGAAAAAATGGTGCAAATGATGATATATTGAGTTGATAATCACACAGCTCATGAGTCCATTTCATTTCAGTGTTGAACTAAATCCACTTGTCATTTTAAGTGTTAGTACTGTCTTGTTATATTGGTGGGTTATCATTTTATAATACCGTTTTAATATCCTCAGGAAATCCATTTTGGTGCTTGTTGGATATTGTGCCGATAAAAAACGAAAAAGGTGAAGTGGTGCTGTTCCTCTTATCCTTTAAAGATGTCAGTGAAACTTATGGGAAGAGTCATCGCTGCAACCAAGGAGACGGTGAGACCTGGCAACATGCATTCCTCACCTATTAGCATCCTACTGTAATTTAGACTATCTTCAAAATGCCATGTTAGTATATTTATGCAATTTATCATTGCTATAGGAACTACACTGTGCCAGACCCCCCCCCCCCGCCCCGGCCTGTTCGATGGCCATGTCTTATTTGAAACACAAGAACTTGTTGTGTTTTTCCCACAGGTATGTCAGATGCTGATCACGAGAACATCAAAAGCAATCGATCACACTTTTCCCAAGCCCGAGAAAGAGGGGAGGACCATCCTGCAGCACCTCAGAAACTTGTTCACGAAGACGGACAAGAGGAAACTGACCGGTGTAAGTTCAAACACCTGAATACAGACAAATAAACCTACAATATGCCATCAATATTTTATAGTTTATTACTGCTGAGCAATGCTTGGCTGTACGTCCCTTGAAACAAAAGCATTTGCTCCATCTATAGCTAAACTTCTATGTCATAAATACAGATCATGTTGTAATCACAGCTTCCACAGGTTATGGTTTATCACAAGCAATGTAAAACTACAGTTATGTGAAATAACTAAGCTAAGAATTTAACATCATATTCATTCTTTGTTACATCTTAATTATTAGTCAATTAACTGTATTTTTACATTAGATATCAAGAGACGTGAAAAAATTTAATTTTATGAATGATGCCTAGTCTGCTAAAAATATCTCTTTGACACAAAAGGATTACTGATTTCACCTTTCAACAACAACGATAATGATGATGATGATGATAACCACTGACAATCATTGTAGCTATACTGGTAATAATAGCGTTTCATGCTGATGTTATCACTGAGTCCTGCTTCACTGGGCCCTGAATAAAATGTGAATATTCATAATTTATCATTTTCAAATTTGATTCTTTCATCCACAAAGTTTCTTCATCAGCCAGCTAAGGACTCAGCACTCCAGATTTGCAGTTGGATTCAAATAATGAGCTTTCTTTCCTTTCAAACGCTGTCCATTCAGCATCAGGTTGTCATTATTTTCAGGGTTTTTTGTGTGTGTTACGTTGCCAAGTGTTTTTTATGAGATTTCTATGTGCTGTCTTTTTCAGGATGTGTTTCAGAAACCATCTCTACCTGAGTACAAAGTGGCAGCCGTAAAGAAATCACGTTTCATCCTGCTTCACTACAGCATCTCCAAGGCCTTGTGGGACTGGCTCATTCTACTGGCGACCTTCTACGTCGCTGTGGCTGTACCCTATGACATATGCTTCGTCAGCCATGTCCAGGGAAATGGACATGACTCTCTCATCAGTCGCAGCACTATAGGCACTGACATCGCAGTGGAGATGCTCTTCATACTTGGTGTGATATTTTCACATTTGATGAAAACATGTGTTTTATTATTGTTCGTTTTTTCATGGTTCCAAGACGGATTGATTTTCAATGGTTACATTTGTTGTAGCTTCTTGAGCAGCATTACAGAGAATAACAATGTTCTGGTTAAATCAGGTACAACTATATTTCCAATACAGCTGCAGTGGTTTCCGTGGTGATGGCCAACACATAACTAAACCTCCTACCTTTTCTCACCCACGCAGGGTGTCTCTGTTGCCCCAGGTTACGAATCATAATGAGATTTCTCTCACTTCGTCCCACTTCAACTCCAAAGGAAGTGTGATAGCACATCTGTCATGAGACTGTCTGACTAAATCTCTCCTAAAGTTAGTCTTGTGACATTCAATCATGTTCATGTGCAAAACGACCTGACCAGGTTCTGCAAGCTGTTTGCTTTGCTTGACTAGTTTCAGTAAAAACACATTAACGCGTTGTACCACTGAATGTCAAATGCCTGTCGCTGCATCATGTCACTTAGACTCACCAACACTTGTCTACACCAACCTGATTGCAACAGGTTAAAAAACTACTTCTTATCTCATTGTTAGAGAAAATAAAAAAATGTAATTTGCTGCTAGAAAAGTGCATAATTATTTAGGCCAAAAAGAGATTGCTTAAAAAGAGTTTTAGCTACTTTACTCTATTCTTTATTGAACATTTAATGAATCATCTATTTCACAAGATAAGATAAGATCATCTTTATTGATCCCCCATTCAGGAAAGTTAACATCTTACAACAGTTCGCTTAACCGCAATGAAGGTATTAAGAATAGAAATAATAAGAGGGAAATAAAAAATATAATAAATATGTTTTTTAAGTATGTACATGATTTATATCTACTATTTGGTTTGGTACAAATTGTTTACACCTAAAATATATGTAATCTATTTAAAAATAAAACACACATAGACCTACTGCATACTTTTTTCATCTTCAAACCTTGAAATTGTACCTTGAAATTATAACATTTACAGGATCTTTAGTCCTGACAAAAGACTGGTGCACATGTCTAGATGTGTCATTCATTCATTAAACTTTTTTTTTGTTTCTGTTGGGTGCCTTTTAAATTTCCCTTGCTTCTTTTCCCCCGCTCCATCTCAGATATCATCCTGAATTTCCGCACCACATTTGTGAGTCAGTCAGGTCAGGTGGTGTACGATGCTCGATCCATCTACCTCCACTACTGCACCACTTGGTTCTTTGTGGATCTGATCGCAGCTTTGCCCTTTGATCTTCTCTATGTCTTCAACATCACTGTGGTAAGATATTTTATCTGTGCATATCATCAAGCACTGTTTGCCTCGGGGATTTTTAAAGTTCTTGTCTCTTTTAGTTTACCAACTTTTACACTGGCCACTAAAGTTTTGGTGATCTGTCCTAAGAGCAGTGGGCTGGAGATGATTATTCCTCCAAATTGAATCACTTCACTGAGCATTCTTCTTTATCTGCTCGTTTTAGTTTGACCTCCAGATCAACACGAATACTTCTCATGGATTAGTCTCGCTGTATCACAGTCCTCTGCTGACCCATCAAGGCCTCCCAAATGCACCCTTAGTTTTGGTTGCCATGTTTAAAACTTTCCAGCTTATAGTAACATTTATTCCAAATAAGTGCTCCTCAATATAATTTGGTTCTCAGTTTTAAATTGCACATTGGTTTCGCTAATTGCACATATGTTTTCTATTATTATTCCTTATTTTCTTGCTACAGGTCGAATTTGAAATTGTACAGGTTTCATTTAAATCTTTGTTAGGGTTCATATATGCATACAGGAGGGATAATAAATGATCTATCTATCTATCTATCTATCTATCTATCTATCTATCTATTTATCTATCTATCTATCTATCTATCTGTCTATCTGTCTATCTATCTATCTAAAAAAATCATCTCTGTGTCTTCTTATCCAGACTTCGCTTGTGCACTTGCTGAAGACGGTTCGTCTGCTGCGTCTTCTGCGCCTGCTACAGAAACTGGACCGCTACTCCCAGTACAGCGCTGTGGTCCTGACTCTGCTCATGTCTGTGTTTGCCCTGCTGGCTCACTGGATGGCCTGTGTCTGGTACGTCATTGGACGCCAGGAGATAGAAAGCAGTGACCCTGTTACCTGGGATATAGGTGAGCACATTATGTTTGTATTAAGTGTAAGTGCGGTGATGAATCCAACAGCACTCAGTCAGGAGTATGATGTTCTTTATTCATTATAAGCTTTGCTTAGACTGTCTCACCAAGCAGCCCCACATGGGCCAGTGCTGGACATATCTAGCCATGCTTGAATGCCTGAAAGCAGCATCTTAAATTCTAGCTTTCCTCCTCCTTGGTCTCGAGGATGTTCAGGTCACAGAGCATTCCCATTATATCACCAGAGAAACGCATCATATCAGTCAACATTGTATCAACCATCACCCGTTATATCAGAGATAAAAGGGTCACCCCAGTAGACTTTAAGAAGGAAATAAAAAACACTAATGTTTATCCACGTCTCATTGAATAATTTAACATCCCATCATAAATGTTAAACAACCATCTTGCCACCTCGTCCACAAGGCTGGCTTCAAGAACTGGGAAAGCGTCTGGACACGCCATACATCAACAGCACCACGGGTGGTCCCTCCATGCCGAGCGCCTACATTGCCTCTCTCTATTTCACCCTCAGCAGCCTCACCAGTGTCGGTTTTGGCAATGTATGTGCCAACACAGACGCAGAAAAAATCTTCTCTATCTGCATCATGCTCATTGGGGGTAAGTTTCTATAGGTGGGGACAGTAAATGATCACAATTAGTGTCCATAATCTGAATATATATATTAAACATAACTCTGTACCATCTCCAGCCCTGATGCATGCAGTCGTCTTTGGGAATGTAACAGCCATCATCCAGCGAATGTACTCCCGGCGCTCTCTCTACCATACCCGGATGAAGGATCTCAAGGACTTTATCCGTGTGCATCGGCTTCCCCAGATGCTGAAGCAGAGGATGCTGGAGTACTTTCAAGCCACCTGGTCGGTCAACAATGGCATCAATGCCAATGAGGTGAGTGAAAAATCACAAATTAGCAAAGCTCTCTTGATAATCATCATTTTTCTAACCTTTGTATATTTCAAAAAAGTTTTAAAGTGAATCTCTATGAATATATTAGACTGCAGTTTTTTTTCTTTTCCTGTTGCAAAAATAACACTTTATTAAAGATTTTGGGGCTTTTAAGGCCTTTATTTTAGAGCTATGACAGTGGATAGAGTCAGAAATCAGGGATAAAGAGTGGGGAACAACATGCGAGAAAGGAGCACCACTTGGAGGACTACAGCCTCCATACATGGGGCACACACACTAACCACTACGCTACAGGCACCCTGAAAGAACAACACATTTTGTTTGGATTAAAGACTAGTTTGAGAAATGTCATATCCAAAATGTGGGCCGCCTTAAATCCTCTGGAGTGTCATTCCATTTCCTTAAGTAGCCTGCACATCGTTGCAAATAGAACCTGGGTAACAATAGCCGGAGCAGATCTAGGAGAAGTTCCCTGTAATTACAAGGGTTTGAGTTGAAATAGAGAGAATACTCATTAACACCCTCGCCAACACAATTTGTTGATAATTAATTCACTGTTGAAGGCAACAGACATAGCCTCTGGTTCCTGAGAACATGTTGCCTTTAACACCTTGTGTCTGTTTTTACTGAGCAGCTTGGCGCATCATGGGAGTGCATTAACCTTTAGAACTTCAATCTGTTCAATTATTTTTTTGCACTCTTGTATTCATCATTTTTGGAAGATATACTTAAAATTTTTCTGGGATGTAGCAGGATCTTACAGTAAGATCTTTTAGATCTGCAACAACAAGGGATGTGTAACCAAAAGAGACAGAAGAGCTGCATTAGTGTCTAACATTGTATTTCATCCTGGAATCTGACATGTTTACATGTCTTTAAGCTCGGGTTGTAGAGAATATCATGTAGATTTTTAGACTCACAGAGCCGTCTATGCTGTACACCATTACATTCAATCATATCACATCTGTTTATTGTTGAACTGAACAACCAGAACTCTGGCAATTAAGGCTATCAACACTCTCCTTAGAGGATACATTGTATACAGTACATCTCAAAAAGTGACTTTAAACATTCAGTCATTTAGTTCAAACCAAAATGTTCCGATTGTTCTCATTCTCAAACTTTGTGAAAAAATTCACAACAAAATTGGAACTTACATCATCTATTTTGTTTGTATACTTTCCCTCCTGTCCTCTTTCTTAGCTGCTGCGTGACTTCCCAGATGAACTGCAAGCTGACATTGCCATGCATCTGAACAAAGACATCCTGCAGCTGCCTGTATTCGAGCGAGCCAGCAGAGGTTGTCTGCGCTCTCTCTCCCTACACATCAAGACCTCCTTCTGTGCACCTGGGGAATATCTCATCCGACAAGGAGACGCCCTGCAAGCCAACTACTTCGTTTGCTCCGGTTCCCTAGAGGTTCTGAAAGATGGCATGGTCCTGGCCATACTGGGTCGGTGGGAAACTTTTCCTCTCTTGCTCGTTCTGCACGTTTCAGCTATTTCGCTTCTTGTTATAATCCCTCTGTTTTAACTGATAATCCCTACAGGTAAAGGGGACCTCATTGGGGCTGACCTCCCAGAACAGGACCAGGTTATCAAGACCAATGCAGACGTGAAGGCGTTGACCTACTGTGACCTTCAGTACATCAGTGTTAGGGCTTTCAGGGAGGTCCTCGGGCTTTACCCAGAGTACGGCAGTCGGTTCAGCTCCGACATCCATCAAAACCTCACCTACAACCTGAGAGAAGGCAGTGAAGCTGACGTAAGACATTTGCTATCGCAATACTTTCCCACCAAATATATTGTATATTTTCCCATGTTAATCCTGACTTCAAATTTTCTAGGGAGTAACAAAGTTTCCATGGTCGTCCAGGCTGTCCCAGGTATGTTTTATTCCTTTGGCTTTGATCTGTTTGATGCATCTGACATTCAGTCACAGCAAAGAAAGATTTTATCATGTAGCATAAGTCTGCTTTACTGAAAAGTAAAACTGTTGTTGAAAATATGTGAAATAGCACATGATCCGTCTGAATTTTTACAAACAGCTGAAATTAAGATGATGTTGAGAAGAGGAAAAAAAATAAGGAAACACCTTATATAATGTATATGTTGCACAGGCAAGATGAGTCCAATTTAGGTTAAGAAAAAAGTGTGCATTTAACTTCAAGCAAAAAACAGATGATTAGATAAATGTTTTCTTATATTTGATGTCATACTCCTCTGTATAAGCTCTCATTTAACACTGATATGACATGGTCAAAGTTAAAACTGATTTTTAAAAAAGGAAAGGTGCATCTTTGAGATCTTTGTGGGTAACATTAAATTCCTAATATCTAAGAAATCTTATTTTCCATCCACTATGTCTCCTCAGGGTCGCGGTTCTGTGGACCAGAAACTGCCCTTCATTATCGAGTCAGATGGTTTGTACCATGGAGAAGATGTAAAACACACTCAGCAAAGGAAGCTTCCTCTGTTACATGAAACAGGCAGCCCTGTCCGTCAACCCTGCCTCAGCACGCTGTTGGGTGAGGAGCTCCACCACATCAATGCCTTCCGCCTTTGTCGATCCCCTGTTCAGGGTGGCCGAGGCCGCAGCCCGTCTCCTCAGCCGTTCTTCTCCGAGGAGCTCTCTCCGTCTCCTCTGCCTGGTCTTATTAGTGACTCAGGCTTGCCTGCCAAGCTGCTCATGCCATCCTTACCTTGTGTTAGTCCACTGAACCTGAGCCCAAGGTAACCTGGTTATCCCTTTTACCCAAATATTATTCAGCAATCTTTTTTGAAATCAAATAACACGGATTTGTTTTCTCTGCTAAGGGTTGTGGATGGAATCGAGGATAATGGCCGCACGTTTCAGTTTAATTTGGAGAACAGCGACATGAAGGCTAACGTCTCAGGTAAAGACTCTGCAAGCTGCGCAATGAATGCAAAGTGAACTGCACTGGATTGAGGGCAGCAAATCCTTGATTTAAACACACATCAGATAGCAATGGTTGACTCAAACTTCAAAATAAAAAGTAATTAAAAGATAAAAGGCATAGTTATTTGTGAAATGATCCCAGATCAGCTTCATTTCTTTGTATGTCCTCCTTTTTAAGAACGGTTTCAGACGAGTGCTAACCTGCTTCAAGAGACAGAAGAAGTGAGACAGAACGTCAGCACACTAAACAAAGAGGTAAGGTCAATATCTGACTCTCATGGGAGCATAAGCCGACTAAACATTCAAAATTCATTCAGCAGCTGTTTTTATTAGTTAAAAGGCTGAATTTTTTTCGTCCCAGGTGAACAACTTGAACCAAGAAGTATCCAACCTGGCAAAGGAGCTCCACGACATGATGCATTTCCTACAGTCTCATATGACAATGCTCCATTATCCCTCAACAGTTTCTAAATATTCTTATGGCGTCCAAATGTCTCCCAGCCCTAGTGTGACTGCCTCCAGCAGCTGGCAGCCTCAAGTGCCTTTACATGGCTCCACTGGGCTGCACCTCCATCATGAAGCTATCAGCCACCCTGCCAGAAACATGTGGGGCTGCAATAGGATGTCCTCCCAGGCCAGAAGTTCGAGTTTGCTGCACTCGTCAAGCCCCATGTCGTCGTGTTTGCACCTGTGCTGCTCCGACAGAGAAGGGACCACAGCCCACAGGTTGCATTGCCAGTGTAGAACAACGCCTAATTCTCCCTGCATGTCCTACCAACATGCCCAGACAGGTCCTTCCCTCCTCAGTCCTGCCTTCAGCAATTTCCCAGTGTCCCATTGTCAGGCCTCACAGGTGGCCTACAACACTTCGATTCCCACCATCAGCAACTCTCACCCAATATGTTCCCCGGTAAATTCAAGCTACTCCCACTCATCTCTGAGTGTCCAAACCAGTTCTGATCCACCACAAAACCAGACTAACTCCCAGACACCCATCCATTCCTCCATCACCCCCTCTGGCCTGCCGCAGTATCACACCACGTTTAGCTCTCTGAGTCCTTTAAGAGTCCACACTTCATTACGCACAGGGCACAATCAGATCCATCAGGGTGCCATCAGCGGCTCCAGGCAGGGTGAGCCAGAAGGATCCAGCCCTGTGCATCACATACAGGGCGCGTCATGTTCTCTGCTTGGGCAGGTTACAGACTGTCGAGCTTCACTGTATCAAGAGAGGCCGGACAATGTTGAATATCAAGACATGAGCATCATTGCTCCAACTGTAGAAGTTCAACCACCTCTCTTGGACATTGGAAGAATACAAACGCCACAATGAGGACCTCAGAGTCTAGTTGTCTTGTTTGTCGTACTTTAAAGACTTTAGGTGTGAAGGTTCAGTTACACTGACCAAATGCATGAGCACATACTGAAACCCCTCTGCCATAACTCATTTAAACTTCAATATTGTAATCATTCTTTGTAGGATAACCTGTGATTGTGAAGTTGTTAGAGATTGCATATTCTGTGAAAAATAAAACTGTTACAGGCTAAATTGTTTTATATATGATTACAAATGCATCACTCAGTCTATACATGTGTCTTTCAATACACTAGCACAAGAAAGAATCATTGTAGATAATTCCACTGCTGCCATCAGAGCAGATACACCTTACCAGTTTAACCAGGCTTACATGTGATATGCATCTAAGCTCTACTGGTATGCAGCGCCACTCAGTGGTGACAGTTGGTTGTATCATTTCATAATTAAGAACAAAGAAACCAACATAAAATAATATGTACCGTATATATTCTGATTATTGACATTAAACTGAGAATAAAGTTTTGTGAAAACAGATATAATCTGGAGTAAAACTGTATGGTTGACAATGAAAATCACATTTTTTTTTGTACTGCACATTTTCAGAGATGTAGCCTACTAGGGTTTGTTGTGGGCTTTGCCACTTACTTTTCAGATTTAAGAGATATTTGAGAGATGTTTTGTTTAATTTGCGGTAGAAAACTTTAAAAACTGGTCAAGTTGCTGCACAGCACCTGTGTAGTTCCTACACCAGCTTTCCTGAACAATTTGCACTTTTTTCTGCTTGAACCATTCATGACCTTTTACAGATAATGGAGCACTCTAAAAGCTACCCCTAGTTTTTCACGCACATACAATGGACTGCACTTATAACAAGGACTAGCTTTAATTTACTTTGGAGGGCATTGGGATTCCTGAACACCTTACAACTACTCTTTGTCATGTGTTCTTAACTATGAATGTTTGTCTTGCTCTAAACATAGTAACAGCGTCCATCCAGCTATTATTTATTTGCTCTTTTTTTTGTGAGAGATCAATAAAAGTGAATCACATAGCCTATCCATTCCTTCCGTCTGCTCTTTTCTTCAGGTTGTGCATGCACTGTAGTCTTTGAATAAACGTCAACTATTCAAGGCAATGCAAATGAAAATGCGGTAGCGAAAATAATGAATAAAATAAACTGAAGAAACCCTGGAAGCAAAGACACAATAACTGAAGTGGAATCTGGGAGGTCCCTGCCATCCTCTCTCGGGATATGTTACCACTCTAATTCATAAAGTATTTTAGCTGTGCCGATCACAAGACTGTTTGGAGCTATATAAGATGTGCAGATTTTTTTTTTTTTTTTTAAATAAAAATATTAATAATAATATAATAATATTAATACATTGTTTTTTATAGCGCTTTTCTAGGAACCCAAAGACGCTATTACTATATTTTTAAATGTGTGATCGAAACCACTAAGTTCCTGTTCAGCCGGCCTGCCTGTACCGCATAAATTGATGCGTTTCGATACCGCTGCTGTCATTGGTCAGACGGCCGCTGACAAAAAGTGGGACGTTCCCGGAAAAAAAAATTGCAAACCGGAAGGGAAGGCCAGAGCCCAAGAAGAAGAAGAAGACAGCCGCAGCCGATGAGACCGAGCGAAACAAGGAAAAAAAAAAAAAGTACTGTAAGTGCAAACAACTTGAAATGATCGAATATGCGGCGAAGAGAAACGCTTTAACACTACGCTGGACACAATTGTGTGCGAGATGTTAACCGTGTTTAGATACCCTCTGTCATATATATATATTTTTTTTGCTTAAACGATCAGACAAGTCCGGTTTCTGCCGAAATGCCCATCAGACTGGAAGCTACGGGCTTTGAGCCTGTTAGACCACAAACAAATGTTGAGGTTGGGGTGGGGGGGGGGGAAACATCCTTGGCACGGACATTAATGTGAGGCATATGATGTGTGTTCATGCCAGCTGTAGACACAATAACAAGTCTGAGTCCCTCCGAGTTTGTCAAATGTCAAACAGCTGACGACGCGGGGCCCAGAGAAAAGGAAAGTTGTCTATTGACGTTTTTTCGTCCACTGGACTACAGCTGCTAACCTAGCTAACGCGTTCACAATCCCAAGTTTTCCTTTTTTAGAGCTCAGCATTAGTGTGTTTTTTGTTTTTTTAACGATTTATTTCTGAGCCTTGTCGTGCTAATTGCTAGATAAAGATAATTTTCAGAAGGTGACGTTTTGAAGCTCGGCGAACTGCAGGTCAAAAACAAGTCGTCGGTATCTTCTCTTAAACAGCTATTTTAATCGATGTATAGTTGACTGTGGCAATCAGAGGCGATGGGGAACTGGAGCCACAGGGACATGTTTATCGTGAGTGTGTTTAACCTTTAAAAGATACGATTTGTGTAAAAGTTATGATTATTATTATTTTTTTTACAACGTCATCAAGCGCCGAACCCCGTCTTCGTGATTCGTCAGCTAGCCACTTGTCACCCTGCTAAAGCTACACAACAACAACTATTAACTACCAGTGTCATGTCAGACTATTAGTGGCACACTTGTTTTTTTTTTTAAATGTGTATTTGTGCATGTTTTTTTTTCTCCCTGTGACTGCTCTAAACACAACTGGTGTCATGCGGGTAGGTAGGCTAGTTGGGCAATGGGCTGTGGTGATATTGTTGTTGCTAAGAAGTTTCCTTTCCTCGCCACCCCTGCAGTGACAGATTATGCATTACTGTCAAGCCCCTTACTTTTAAATTATACTTGGATGGCAAACCCGTTTTGTATGACAGTGGCTAATCTGTCTCACTGTAATGTGCTGAAACAGTGACATAGATGTTTAGCATACTGTTAACAGGTTTGCTTAGCAGCTTTAAGCTTTAAGCACCCTTCAGAGGTAGTTAAGTGGGTTCACTGTTTCTTCTTCTCAGGCCAGTAAAAATGTGTTTTGGCAGAGCCATTTTTTTTTTTATTAAGAGTCATTAAGTCATTATGTTGTTGTCTCAACTGATTACAATGTTATTATGTTTACAGACGACACAGCTGACAGCATTTCTGTTTTTAATTCAGCCAGTTTACTGTATGTGTGTGTCTTAACACTACACTGCAAAGATGCTTATATATATATAAAAAAAAAAAAAATGCATGCTTCTTTCAGTGCTCCTTTTTTATGGCTTTGTAAGAGGGACATAGCTTGGACCTTTGTGACAGAGAAAGGATTTAAAGTCATTTGCTCGAGCTCCTATTTTTTATGGCGTGTGGTGGACCTTGTCCTTCTTGAAGTGGTGACACATCTTGACCAACCAGCCCTGATAGATGGATTGCACGTTTGTTTTCCATCAGTATAATATTTATACTTGCATTTATTGTTCTGTCTAATGCCGCAGGTGCTTTTCGGACTGACAACTAGGCCTAGTCGTGTGTTTTTTTTTTTGATTTCTCAAATGCACTGTGTAGCGATCATTCGACTTTCCATCAACTACGTCTTCACTTACTTTTTTGAATGTCTGCAGGACGGATACGTTGTTTTGATTTGTTACCAAAAACGTCTGGCAAAACATTAATGGAACAAAGGTTTTTAGGTCAATTTAGGTCAATGAACTGTACAGGTTCACGAAGCACTTCGAACTCGTTTGAAAAATCTAATTTGCACTCAGCTTTTCATGCGTAAAGGAACATTTTTGAGGTCTGCTTTGTTTTTCACATACCAGGTTTAGACATAGGAAATTTGCACAAGACTTAGCCTATACTGTAAGAGCAATATCCTATAGTGAGCAGTTATGAAACTTGACACCTTAAGACCCACTGCTCTCTGTGTTGACATTTGTGTTGATACATGTTATGCAAGTTTTAACATTTTGCTTTTATTTTGACATAAAGGTGCAGGTTCTGGTTAAGTCTGTGGATAACTGTCTGTCTGTTTGGGCACTGGGTTTCTCTCAGAAGTCACGAGGAAAGGAAGTGCCTGTGATTTCCTCCTGGCTTTGGTAACTTCTTGTGGGGATGAGTGTTACGGCCCTGTTAACTTTTCCTGAGTTAAGTCATCAATTCCCTCTCACTGTTCCAAAAGCCATTCTTTATTAGAAACCTGAGGCATTAAATGGATCTGGAGCATTTCCTGTTTCATTTGAAAGCTTACAGACGGTTTTGCTTTTAAGTATCTCTAGTTTTGCCAATAATGTGCTGGTCTTGAGGACATGGTTTCTTTGCACATGAGTCAGGTTAGAGTTTGAAAACGTAGCCATGCAGCCCCTCATATCAGACAGCAGCAGTTCTTCAATGACCCCACCCTGCATCCACATAAAGGGAGTGGAACAAGTCCCTGCTTGTTTTCATAAAACGAACAAAAAAGGTTATAGGATTACTGATGTAACATAGTGTGTGAATGAGTTTACAGTTTTAGTCACTTTATGTTTGCACACCGTTCAGTGTTCTGCAACTTTTGTGTGATTTATATGTCTTTAAAAAATAACCTTAGTTTGAAGAACGCATCCTGCATTACTCTTTGCATTGTGGCTTGCAGTGAAAACAACACAACACCTGATAGTTTTTTTCATTCAGTTGTAATCATGGTAAAGACGAGATCCTCTGAAAAGATGCTACTGTTTGCATCACCTTCCATGATTTTTTTTTTTTTATGCTGAGGAACAAACCATGCTGAATATGCTTCAGATATTTGGTGCTGCAACAGTCTCTGACTGACGCTCCTTTTACTGAAGGATTCCACACAAAATAATCATGACACTAAACAGGATACTGTAAGTCGTACTATAGTTCCCCTAGGACACCAAAAATGGGAATCTGGTTTATTATTTTGTTCATACTTGTTGCAAAAATATGAAAAAGCCAAAGTCCCAGCTCTCCCAGGAACTCACACGCAATGATATAATGCTACTGATGAGGATGATAAGGACGATGTTGATAAATATATTCATGATGACAACATTTATGTTATCATCAGTTTTTTTTATTGTTTACATGATAATAAAAAGCAGCTAATGTCATAAGAAGTGTTCTAGTGCTCTTCGGCATGCTGTAGCTGAGCTTAAGGAATGTTATCTGTGACTTTTTTTCTCTGCAGGATTTTGATTTTGAAAAACACTACCATACATGTGTTTTCTGTATCTGTATAGGTATTTAATTGGAAACACAATCATAAAGGAATTAAGTGCGATTGCAATCCCTGCTCCTGCCGAGTGCTAGGATATCTTCCTAGCGGCAGAGGATGCAGGAGGCCGTGATGAATATTTCACTGGCTTTGCCTTTTCTCCTCCCACTTTCCCTGACCCATGTCCCACTGTCTGGCTCTCCCTCTCTGACCCACTTCTCTGCAGAGGTCTTTAGAGCCCATTAGGGATACCATCGTCAAAGCATCCGTCCTAGGCTGCTTGAGCCGTGTCCAGGTCTGTCTCAGTAAAACAAAGAGGCTCTGATATGCAGGCTGGATAGTCACGTCGTCTACCTTTTTTGTCATAATCTGGCTCGCAGGGGCAATGATGTTGCTGATTCGGCCCTTAACAGTAACTTTATCCTCAATCAGTCCTCTGTCTGTCAAATTGATACATTGATTTGTAATTGTCATTTCAGTAGTTGCATTCTGTTGAATAACATTAGTGCAAAGTAAATCTTCTGCCCAGGACACTTATTCTGTAACACTCTTCTGTAGGCTATTCCTGTCTTTATACCTACTGCAATGAGTTCATCATGTGAAAGGCTGCTTCATAGAGTTTTTGTCCTTTTGTCAAACTAAAAACTCTGAGTCACAAATAGAAAGGAGTAGTGCTTCTTGTTATCTGTTTGGCACACAGTCTTTGCAAAACCTTTTGCATAAGACAATATGCGTGGGTGACCTTTCGTATTTTGTCTACAATCGAGTTCCTGCTAATTTCCCCCAAATGTGAAGTTCCTTGCACCTCGGTTTTTTTCAACTGAAACTTTCAAGTAAACCCACTTGGCTAGACTTTTGACATTTTTTTTTTTTTTTTGAATGATGTTTTCTGTGGAATAATTTTCACACACTCAGTCCATGGTTAGAAAAGTGAACAGGTAAGAGATCAGCGCTGCTGCTTGCAACTGAGTTGAGTTGTGAGAGAGCCCCTGTTTGATCCAGTGAACAGAGTGCCTTTATTCTGTCTCCAACGTTGAAGCCTCTGAAGGATTCCCTCTTCTTTTCGATAGTGAGTGCCCACCAGTTTAAGAGTCAAGAGAGGCCTGTAGTGAAAATTCAACAGAGTTATTAGCAAAACTAATGAGAGACTATTTTTGAGACGATGAACTGTGATGAAGCTGTACCTCTGGGTTAAAACAAGAAGGAAACTATTCAATTGTATACTGCTTGATCTGCTCTGTAATCTCAAATCAAACAAATGCTGCTCAGACAAGAGTCAACGTAAAGAACATAAGCAGCATATTTTCCTTCACTGTCAAAATGAAACATGTTCTGAATATTGTAAAGACAGAGCTGTGATCTCTTGTCACATGCTGAAGCTTAGGCTCGGCTCAGCATCGAGCTGAGAGAAAGCTGAACTCTGTAGACTATCAGCAGGGACTCCTTCAGTTTTCCACATTTTTGACATTTCCCTCCTCGCTCAGAAAAAAATCGAAAACCTCCTGCTTGTCTTACTCTGTTTCTGCTTCGAGTTGTCCCAGTGACAAAGAGGTGGGGCTATCCCAGATTTGAAAGCACTCAGCAGTAAAAATGTGTTCTGCAATCTTCACTTCCTGCTTCGAGCTGAGTTGTGTTTCCTGTCCTTTGACCAAGCAGAGGCAGGCTGACCTCATGTGTAGCAGCCGACTGAAGAAAGACCAGGCAAGGTTTCAGAAACGCAAACCAGGCAGGAGGAAAAAAAAAAGATCATTTGCCCTCACTTTTACTTGTTCTATAGTTTTCTGGAGCTTGAGTGGTTCAACTGATTTGAGTCTTAATATGAGCAGATTCATATTTTAAAGTTGAGACTGACTCAGTGTTCACATTTGATTCATGTACCGTTGCTCTTTCTCAACATAGTGTGCTCATGCTCAGTGGAGGTTGCACAAGTATTTCATTTATTGATTTGCTGATGAATATATTTTCAGTTTTTGCGGTCTCTACATGGAGACAGCTAAAGATCTTAACACGTACACTAGTCCTGCTCGAAAACTGGAGACAAACATGTGTCCAAAGATAACTCCCAGGAACCATTGTGTCCTACTGAGTGTGTGTCAGGGCTTTTAGCATTCTAAATACTTCCACCTTAACTGTGTTTTCATATTTGACTATATGTGGTTATTTTGCATATTTCTTCTTCAATACAGAAACAGTGAGACTTTAATTGGACACTGGGTAGTTCACCATCATGTGCATAATAAACACTGTCTGGGGAACCTGTGGGAGCCTGAATGGAGGACACTGGTGTTTTCCTGCAGCTCTTGTTTACGCTAAACATGGTTGAATATTAAACTCTTTTATCTGGAGGCCAAGGTGTCTGTGTGAGCAGCATAAACTTCAAATGATCTGATGACAGTCGTGGCTAAAACCAATCTTTCCCAGCTGATAATTTATTGAACAGTAATATAGTTTTTGCAATGGATTCAAGACTCTTATTGGCAGCTAGGAAACATCTTTTTTTTTTTTGTTTAAACATCATTAGGTTTAAATTGACTTCGGCAGTCAACAGGTGATATGGTGTTGTATTGAGAACAAAGCTTAATATGATGAATTTGTTGTGTTTTCCAGCTTCCACTGGCGAGGTCTCCTCTTCCTCTTACCTGCCTAATCTGGATCTACCCCAGTCTGGCTCAACCAGCCCTCGCCTGCCTCTGCACCCAGCTTGAGCTCAAAAGTCAACCAGACTTCCTCCCTCTTCTCCCGGCATCCTCCTCTTCTTCTTCTTCTCCTCCTTCTTCTTCTTCTTCTTCTTCTTCTTCCTCCCAGTCTTGAACACTGCGCTATCATGGCAGGGCGAGGCGGACCAGCACGGACCAACGGCGCCGCAGCGAGCAACAAGATCTGCCAGTTTAAGCTTGTGCTGTTGGGGGAGTCGGCGGTGGGAAAGTCCAGCTTGGTGCTGCGCTTTGTCAAAGGCCAGTTCCACGAATACCAGGAGAGCACCATCGGAGGTGAGGAGTTGTCGTTATTGTGTTATCTTCTCTCTGACATGGAATGTTTTTTATGTGACGTCTGCTGAAACCTGCAGACTCAAAAACTAATCATGTGTGCCATTTTAAAGGCTACAATCAGTGGAAAGTGAACTGATAAAAGTATAATAGACATTTTGACACAGAAACAACTGAAGACATTTAGATCTACTACGCAACCTCAACAGATTAAATTCTGTTTTTAAAGACCTACCATTGTAACGACTGCATCACACAGCACTACAGAGTCTATGTTTACCTTTTCTATGATACTCACTCTGACTCTTCCAGCATGTCAGGGGACATAACATGAATGCTGAGGCAGAAAAACATGTTCTTGCCAGTATAGAGGAACGTTGTGCCTCAGTTGCTGAACCAGTTCTCTGCCGCTGATCACTTGACTCTACCATGAGCTAGCAAGCTCCTCACACATTGCAGACACCTACAGTATGTTCACCATGATGGTGCAGAAAATAATCACATTCTGACAATGTTTTTGACAGTTAAAGGCAAGGAAAAAAAGAAATGAAAACGTCCGTTCTGAATGTCAGTAGCTTTGCAGCAGAGGAATGGAGTTACGTGACACAGGAAGGAATTGAGACAACAACTGGGATTTCCTCGACCTCCTGTAGTTCAGTGAAACTGCTCAAAGCGTATCGTTTGATTTTTAGGCAAGATGGTGATAATAATCTGTTTGTCCCTTTGACACAAATTTGAGTTGTTTTTTTTTTCCTCCCTTGAAGTGTAAGGAGCCTGAGGGCTACAGAAGGAAACTTTAAAGAAGGTGCAGGTCCCCAGTACAGCTGGAAAAACAACAGATGAACAGGTTTCCCCTGGAGCTTCTGTTTTCTCCGAGCGGCCTTGTTCAATCTTTCATTAACTTACACACATCTTGTGCACCTGCCTCCTACAGACTCAGTACTCGGGCTCGGAATCCAACTCGAATTGTCAACATGCAGGGCTTAACAGAGGATTGAAGATGGCGCTCAATGTGTAGCGCATAATATTTGTTGTTCCTTTTGCGTCTTCTATAGAGCGCCTCTGAGAGAAAACTTTGCCATTCATACCTTGAAACACGGTGATTGTGATGTCATGATGTCTAGGGTCATTAAGCGTTTGTTGACAGTATGAAGTATGGATGCACAGAGGAAATGATGGGGGGGGGAGAGGGGAGGAATACAATGAGAGGCGATGATGTGTAACAAAGGTCTCCAGCCACCATCACAGGTGTGTTGCAGCTGATTGAGGACCCGTCTGAGGTCACATAGGCCACATATGTCAACACACGACCGCACAGTAATGAAAGCTGTGGAATGAGGACATGTTGTAAGAGAGTGAAGAGAAGAGAAGCGCCTGTCGTCTGCGACCCTTCCTCTAAGCTGCTGATCCTGTCGAACAAAACGCTGAACTGCAACAGGGCAGAGTTTTTTATTTATTTATTATTGTTTAATCGAAATACACATTTAACCCTTAATAATTGAATGATCATCAACATTGTCGACACTCAACTTAATACAATCATGCATTATTTACCGTTCTAGAATTTCATCGTGATTATGTTATTTACAAAATGCCAAGAGACTCTGTAAGTCTGAGCGCAAAACGATGTGTGCAAGATGTTGCTTATGTGTCCAACACCCTCAGATGACACGTGTAGAGCGGGGTTAAACAGAGAGAAGCTGAGGAGGGATCCCGTTTCAAGACAGGAACTAAAAGTACATTAGTTCAGCCTTTTGAAATTGTTTGGAAACAATCTACTTTAATTCTCTGAAATCGTTCAGACATCAGCTAGAGTTCTATTTTTAGTGTCATTTCCGTTTTGCTTTCATGTTGAACCAACGTTTCCCCCTCTTGCGTCCCTCTGAGTAAAGTGGCCTAAGAATGTGTGGACAGGATGCTCAGTGCTTACGTTCGCCGAGGTCTCCAGACACGTCAGCGTGTTTTTAGATCCCACTGAACTTGTGGTCGGCTGCATGCCTGGTCAAAGATTACACAGCTTTAAAGTATGTGCTTTGTAAGTGAGCGGGGACCGTTTCCTCCGTCATGTGACAGCCGGCTGAGTCTGCAGTTGTTGCCTGCTAGTTAAACTGTGTGTACTTACTGTACACCTGAGTCTGTTTTCCTTTTTGTGTTCCAGCTACACTCCAACTCTGAATCTCTCCTATGTGGTCACTTTGATGTAGTATGGTGTCTTTATTCAACTTATCATCCATCTTTTGTTATCTTTTTATCCAGTTCCAGGGATGAGTGTAACTTCCCACCGTGTTTCATCATCATCACATTTTGAAACTTGGATAACACGCGTGTCATTGTCTACAAATCTTCCCTCACTGTGATGGGTGTTCTTCTCTTTGCAGCCGCCTTCCTCACACAGACCGTATGTTTGGATGATACAACGGTCAAGTTTGAGATCTGGGACACCGCAGGACAGGAACGGTATCACAGCTTGGCACCCATGTACTACAGGGGAGCCCAGGCCGCCATCGTGGTCTACGACATCACTAACACAGTAAGTCACATGGACTGTGAAGCAAGAGTCAGGAGTCTCGTGCCGTTTGCTGATCCTTGTCTTCCAGCTCAGTTGATGATTGTTAAAACAGAAGAGACAGCCACAGACCTTTGCTCTTCAAGCTCTTAAAGTGATACGCAATGTGTAGAAAATGCATCAGGGATTTAAAATTTGACAGCACTTAGTTAATTGTGATTCTGCTTGTTGTTGTTTTTTTTTTTTTTTCCCCCCAAGGACACATTCACACGTGCTAAGAACTGGGTGAAAGAGCTCCAGCGACAAGCCAGCCCAAACATCGTGATTGCACTGGCAGGAAACAAAGCCGACCTGGCCAACAAGAGAGCTGTAGATTTTCAGGTAAAGAGGAACATTCACCGCCTGATGTTTCCGATGAAATTCCTCAATAAGTGGATGTATTACAGGCCTGATGTTGACCACTGCAAATTGTCGTATGTCGCTCTCTAGGAAGCACAAGCATATGCAGATGACAACAGTTTGCTCTTCATGGAGACTTCAGCCAAGACTGCTATGAATGTCAATGAGATTTTTATGGCTATAGGTGAGTGCTAACCATTTTACTGTCATGAAGAGCTTCAACTATGGAAGATGTGTCCTTAACTCTCCTGGTTATCAGTTAATGTTGACACCTGTAGTAAGCGATTTGTTGATTTTTAACAGGGGGACGCTAATGACACAGAGTAATTGAGTTGAATAAATGTTACAGCTCTGATCAATCTGACAATATTGCTTTTGTTTGTCTGTGCATTAAATCTTACGACGGCTGTGTTGTAAAAATCCCAAATCAAACGTTTGTGACTATTATGTCAAATGGACAAAACTATCCAGAAGTAATGGGCAGAATGACTAATAACATACCGTTAAGTGATGGAGCTGTTATAAATGCATTGTACTTTATCCCCCAAAAACAGCCAAGAAGCTCCCTAAGAACGAGCCCCAGGGTGGAGCGGGCGCTGCCGGACGAGCTCGAGGAGGCGTGGACCTGCAGGAAGCTGCACCACAGGGCAGAAGTGGCCAGTGCTGTGGGGGCGGGAACTAATTAACTAACTAACACAACATTGAGTCAGCTGATCCAACCAACCTACAGCTTCGATCAACCAGACCAGATATTAGCCAGCTGTCATACAATGTCCCATCGGTCAAACCAAACCATGGTTCGGACCAACAAAACCCTTCAAGCACCAATAGACTGTTTGGCAAACAAGTCCACTGGCCAGTAACCTGCCAGAGCCCCACTGATGGTTCCAGCTGAAGAACCAACAAACAGACCAAGAAATCAATTCACAGAATCGTATTTTATCCCCAGGAGTCCCCGATCTATGACCTCTCTATTGATGATGGACACTTGACATCACCGTAGGGGGAAAACAAAAAAAGTCCCATTTACAGAAGAAGAAAAAGATCAGTCATTACAAATGGCACTTACTTAGAGCCATCTTCCTCATTTTTTTTTTTTCTGTATTTGTGTAAAAGAAAAAAAACGTAACAGGAAGGAGTTAAAAGCGGCTGACTGGCCCTGTATTTTCTCTGCTACCCGCTGCATCCCCCATTGCTCCAAACATGTATAAATTATATCCACCATGGTCTCATGACTCCATTAAAACTTCGGTCCAGGTGCATGCAGCAGTCCTTTACTTTACTGTCTTTTCTCATTAGAGCTCTGTAGATTGAATTATTACTTGGTTATTGTTATCACTATTATTACTTCAACTTCTTTTGAAACAGGCTGTTCAATATGATTTTAAAGCCTCGACTTTAAGGTTTTACAATCATCTATGTTATCAAACCATATACAGTAAATAGTACTTTATTAACATTGTCACTCAAGTAATTTTAGCATCAATGTAATGTTTTTGAATCATCAGTGTACAATGACAAAATACAAGATTTGTTTTCTTGACCAAAATCACGACTGTGTATTTACAACATTGCTGTATTTGTATCAGACTTTTCAAGTTTATAATCAATCAGTAGTTACTGTCTAAACAATATCTTCCCAATCTCTACATGATGTTTTGTTAACCTTAATGTGATGGGGTTTTTTTTATGTCTTAATTTTTTTTTCTGAAGATTTATGGTATTAAATGCACTGGTTCTGTCTCATCTTTGTGAATTGAAATGTTATCGTCGGCTTCATTTTTTTTTTTTTTTTTTTCTTCTCTCTGTTTTTACTTTTCATATCAGGGAGGGATTCCTTTCAACAGTGTTGTCATCTTGTTGTGGCATCAACAACTGGCACAACAGTACCTGCACAGCAGTCACTGCTGCTAGGTGGGTGTTAAAGGGGAGGGGGGGCAGGGTCATGGGTATAGAAGGGAAAAAAAAAAGGTGTCATTTTACCAATAAACAAGGGGAAGGTATATTTTCTGTATGTCTGTTTAATCTTTTCCTCCCATGCTGTAGCTAATGAATCACTGAGGCCTACGTCAATTTTACTTTAATTGCTTACTCAGCCATCTAGTCATCACTGACTTCAGAAAATACTGAATATAAACATGCTGCAACTCTCTTTAAAGCCACAGGCTTACACTTCAAAGGAAATAATGAAGCTTAGATTAACTGAGTTGATCTTCTGCCCTCCTGTGGCCACACGGCTGAACTGCAAGTTATTGAATTCGTCAATGTCCGTCAATGCAAAAACATTTTCCGGTTTATTTTCAAATTAAATTGAAAATTTGAATTCATCTGAAAACGAACTAACATCAGTAATGCAGGTAAAAACAGGTCTTTATGTATTTAGACTAATAACGATAACCAACAAATGTAGTTGTAATTAACATTTTGCTATATTTATAAATGTTGACTGTTCAGTGGTGTAATCTAAAGATAATTAATAGAGTATTTAACATTATAACTTACTGTTAGATTGTCCTCAGTTAGACGGAAATACTGTCCCGTTGTAACAATGAGCTCATGAAAACATTTGTTAATCAACTCGAGCAGTTCGATACAAAATAACTGTGACGTGCGGTAAACAGTCTGTAGATAAGAAGGGAATTCTTGATAAGTAATAACGACCTTAATTCACTTAACAATTAATATTTCGTGATAACTTCTTAATTTTGAGGTATTTAAGTGAGCAATAATTATTTACTTTCATACGTCTGCGTCATTGAAGTGATATTGTGTCAACATTTTTCGCATTGAGGATGAATCCTTTATTCTCTGTCTTTGCACCCTTTATGTAAAATCTCAACAACTCTGCTAATGGAAAATCTAAAACCAAAAATAATTTGTTCTTTTTTTTTATTTTTATTTTTATTTTTACACAAAGCCGTTGTGCTCCCAAATCCAATTGTGTCGACAGCACTTGAACGCAGCACATGAGCTCACAGGTAGCGGAGGAAGAGTCTTAGCAGCGTGGATATGTCGGACCCGGCGGCGCAGGCCTTGCAACCCCGGCTTCTTCAAGCCCAGTCTACTGGGTCAGCTGGGTCCAGTACCGCCGCGACAGGCTCCGGGACAGCAAGTAGTGACCCGGCGAGACCGGGACTGAGCCAGCAACAGCGTGCAAGCCAGAAGAAAGCCCAAGTGCGAGCGTTCCCACGGGCGAAAAAGCTTGAGAAACTTGGCGTATTCTCCGCCTGCAAGGTAGCCAGCTAAGCTAGCCAAAGTTCATCACAACAAAGCACTCCTCGGTTCTATTAGTAATTGTCTATAGGTGGCCGCAAATGACAGCGTAGCCATGGAGCCATTAGCATAATAATAATAAACAGATAGTACAATATCCTAGCTTAATCGTTAACTTTTGCAGCTAGCTAGCTATCAATACAGTCTCCTCGACACTTGTTATGCTTAGCCTTTCGGAGATGCCTGCATTACCATCCATCACAAATGAGCAGATTACCCGTTAACTGAGTCACAAAGCCGCTGAGTGTATGTCTAAGTCGATTTTGACTGGTGTAAACATGTTTTATTTGCTACCAGGCAAGTGACACCTGCAAGTGCAATGGATGGAAAAACCCAAATCCACCATCAGCCACACGGATGGACCTGCAACAGCAGGCAGCCAGCCTGAGCGAGCCGTGCCGCAGCTGTGGACATGCTCTGGGTACAAACTAACCCACACTCCATGTGTACAGCCCACTGGTTCTACTCATAGCTTTTATTGCAAGGGATGCTCCCATTTCACCATGTCTGTTCACGTCTGTATGTTTGCACCTTGACTGTGTGTGACTTATTGATGCCTTGTTTGCAGCTAACCATGTGTCCCACCTGGAGAACGTGTCTGAGGATGAGATTAACAGGCTGCTGGGGATGGTGGTGGATGTAGAGAACCTCTTCATGTCTGTGCACAAGGAGGAGGACACTGACACCAAACAGGTCTACTTCTACCTTTTTAAGGTGAGCAAAAATGGTGTAACAGGGGGAAACGTTCGACCAAAAGGTTCGAGTCCATGTAGGCACGCTTAACATGTGTCATCGTTCAACAATTAACACTTGTTCTTTTTTTGTTTTCTTTTAACCCCATTCTTTCAGCTGCTGAGGAAATGCATTCTGCAGATGAGCCAGCCAGTTGTCGAGGGATCCCTTGGAAGTCCTCCGTTTGAAAAGCCCAACATCGAGCAGGTAAACATGGGCATGCCTCTCGTTTGCGTCTCGCGCTCTCCGCCCCCCTTTCTGCGCTGTACAGTTTTGTATTGACGATAGATTTCTCTCCATCTCTTCACCCTCCTTTTTCTGAAGGGGGTTTTGAATTTTGTTCAGTATAAGTTTAGCCACCTGGCACCAAAGGAAAGGCAGACCATGTTTGAGCTGTCAAAGATGTTCCTCTTGTGCCTAAATTACTGGAAGCTCGAGACGCCGACGCAGTTTCGCCAGCGCACCCAGAAAGACGATGGAACAGCATACAAGGTGGACTACACCAGGTGAGCGTGGATATGCTGTTAGAGAAAAGCGTGCGTTATGTTTTAGTTTTCTGTGTTGAACGCAAACACCAGTCTTTACGTTGTGAATGTTTTTCCGTGTGACTTCCAGGTGGCTTTGCTACTGCCACGTCCCTCAGAGCAACGACAGCCTCCCGCGCTATGAGACCACTCAGGTGTTTGGCCGCAGTTTGCTGAAGTCCATCTTCACGGTGACCAGACGGCAGCTGCTGGAGAAGTTCAGGGTGGAGAAGGACAAGCTGCTACCAGAGAAACGAACCCTCATCCTCACACACTTTCCCAAGTAAGGTCTCACTCTCTGTTCATACCGCTCTACAGTTTCTCCAATTTCTTTGGAGTTTGCAGGAACAAATATAAACAAGTATCAGCGTCTCCACTGATTTTGCCGCCTGCATACTTTCTTTGGATGATTCTCTTGATTTATATACTGGTATTTATTCATCACTGAAGCTCCCATGTTGTAATCCGTTTACTATCACTTAGTTTTGCTTCTCATCCCTCTGTCAGTTTTTGCCTTTATTATAATATTTGACACTGAATGTCTTCAGGTTTTTGTCTATGCTTGAAGAGGAAATCTATGGGGAGAATTCACCCATCTGGGAGGCCGACTTCACCATGCCGGCTTCCGATGGCACACAGCTGGGGCATCAGACAGGTGAAGCTAGCGTCTGGCCTGATAGGCATTTAGATGATTTCAGTTGGATGAAACCAAAACATGCATAGAAAATATATGAAGATAGATAGATAGGTAAATATTATGATTATGTTTAGAGTAAGGCAGAAGTAGAGATGTGTCTTATGCTTTACATAAATACAATGTAATTAACAGTCAAATGACGTGCACTGTAGATAAAGGAAACATGAAACAACATGAATGTCTTTGACAGTGACAGTTGATTTGTATGGTTTGTATTAAATGGTTGTACCTTGGTGTCTCTTGTGGCAGTGATCAGTCCGGCTGCAGTGTCCGGCTCCCCAGCACTGCCAAAGGGTCTGAGCAGTATTTCCTCTCTGGGCAGCATGGATGCTGCAGGTGCAGAGCCAATCACAGGTCTGTACGCCCCACTCTGCTTCTTAGAGTCACACATCTCTACCAGACTTTAAGTACCCCCAGTAGCTTTGTGGAGTTTTTTTTTCTCCAATTGAAACTGTAGTAAATCAGTGAAACATTTTAAATGTAATGTAGAAGAATATTTGTTGAAACATTTTCTGCATTTCCCAGCTGATGACAGTAACCCAAAGCCTTCCAAACAACATCCATGCAGATTGGCTGCATGCAGCTCTTATTTTAGTTTCTCATGTTTGTCTGTTCAGGAGAGAAACGCAAACTTCCCGACGCACTCACCCTGGAGGACGCCAAGCGGATCCGTGTCATGGGAGACATTCCAATGGAGCTTGTCAATGAAGTCATGATGACAATCACTGACCCTGCTGCTATGCTCGGACCAGAGGTAAGTGGTTTACTCTCAAGTGGCTTATAAAAGCGGATTGGTTCAGACCGTAGTACTCACAGTAATGTGTTTACGTTGTTAGACTAATCTTCTGACGCCTAACGCTGCCCGTGATGAGACTGCCAGACTGGAGGAGAGGCGGGGCATCATAGAGTTCCACGTGATTGGAAACTCGCTTTCCCAGAAGTCCAACAAAAAGATCCTGATGTGGCTGGTCGGCCTGCAAAATGTCTTCTCTCATCAGTTACCTCGCATGCCCAAAGAGTACATCACCCGGCTGGTGTTTGACCCGTAAGTACGAGACCTCTCACCACACGATACGTGTGTCCAGGTGCTGGCATGTGTTCTGATTTCTCCACCTATTCACAGAAAGCACAAGACCCTCGCCCTCATCAAAGATGGCCGCGTCATCGGTGGCATTTGTTTCAGGATGTTTCCCACTCAGGGCTTCACGGAGATCGTCTTCTGTGCCGTCACATCCAATGAGCAAGTTAAGGTAAACATTTCCTCTGTTTGCTGTGGCGCCAATCCAAGGAAACAAACAAGGTGCTTTTCAACATTGTTATAGTAGTTGGAAGTTCTTTTGCACAGCTGGTGGCCAAGATGGGTTTTTTTTCTTTACAAAAATGTTACAAAACATTTTAAAGCTACATGTAGCAACGTTAGTACAAATGGAGAGCATAAACGTGACCAGCATGTAGAGCTGGAGGGTATAAAGTGTTCAGGGAAAGTAGCGTCCACCTTTTGAAAACACTGTACAACTGCAGCATGGGCTTTTTAATTTTCCATCCCT